TAGATACAAAGACTTTGGTAATAAATGAAATATATCAATATGTTAAGAACTTAATAGTTGATATAAACAAATATAGCATTCGAACCAAAAATTGAAATTTTAGCATTTTTTCTATTGCTGAAGATGAAAAAATAAAATCGAAATATCGGATTATTTGGATTATTGTTTCCATATTGAATCATATATATCGCTTCTATATATATTATTGCATAATAAACAAAAGTAAAATTATAGCTCTTTATGCTGACATTTTTGAGAAAAATCGAAATTTTGATTTTTAATGTACGTTTAAAATTATGGATTTTTTTTAAACCCTATAATCTATTTTTTAATTAGTTCAGATGAATTCTACATTGATTATTTTAATTAACACAGTATACCAAATATTTATAACTTGGTGAATCGAAAAACTATATTATGAAAACTTAGATAAAACCTTTTTAAAAATGAACTTGAAATAAAATGCTAAATCTTATATAATATTTCATCCTAAGCCATCTTTTTACTGTTGAAATCATCCATCATCTTTTACTAACTTGTATTATTATAAAAATATCATTCATATACCAAGATATCAATGAGATCATGATTTAGATGAAAATAAACGTCCAATTTTTATAAACGGATATTTTGGGAATAAAACTTTTATTATATTAGTTTTTTTGATCATTTTAGATATATATCAATTCATATAATATCATAGATCAATAATTGGCAAAAATAATGACTAGCTTTTATTTTGATTTTAATTTTTTACCAAAATATCATATTTTTGATATGCTCAAAAATATTTCCCATTTATATGTGGAAACTCTTTTATATTCATTGACATATTATTATCAAGTATTGAGCATAAAACTGAGTTATTTCTGTGAACCATTTCCTTTTCAACATATAAATATTCATTCATTTTCACAAATTTCAAAATTTTTCAAAAATGATCGTAAAAGTTCATATATTATTTGGATTATTAAGCTTAAATCATATTTCTCTATTTTCATATTCAAGACTAATATTTTTATTACTTTACTTTTAAGAAGGCATGCTCATATTGACTATTAAAACGAAATGTTTTTTTGAGAATTGTCTTTATTATTTTTCACATCAAAGCTTTGCTTTTAATTGAGTTAGATATAATCTAAATGTTTCTTCAATAATTATTTTGCTTATATTACTTATAAATATGAGGATATCATTAATAAAGAAATTTGAACAGACATAATAGCTAGACAAATTTTTTTATTAATTTTAAACGTACATTAAAAATCAAAATTTCGATTTTTCTCAAAAATGTCAGCATAAAGAGTTATAATTTTACTTTTGTTTATTATGCAATAATATATATAGAAGCGATATATATGATTCAATATGGAAACAATAATCCAAATAATCCGATATTTCGATTTTATTTTTTCATCTTCAGCAATAGAAAAAATGCTAAAATTTCAATTTTTGGTTCGAATGCTATATTTGTTTATATCAACTATTAAGTTCTTAACATATTGATATATTTCATTTATTACCAAAGTCTTTGTATCTAAAGAAAAATAAAAAATAAATAAAAAATTTTAAAAAATTTTAAAAATTTTCCGATCACATTTAAATCCTTTTTCACATTTGAATCCTTTTCTGTAAATGCAATTTTAACGAATGCCATAAAATGCAAATCTTCCCATTGTGAATATTCCATCTGCTGGCATTATTCGAAATGCATTAACAACACGAGATCCAGTATTGTTATAAATGAAATTATAGATTCCTCCTGTTGCAACAGGAATATTATCAGCAATGCGAAAACTAGTTGTGCTTGCCTTAGCATAGACTCGATGCTTTACATTTCCATCATTCCAGAACTCGATATTTCCATGAATATAGCCGCCATTATTGCGAAAAAACTTTTCATCAATTCCAAATCCAAAATATCCATAAGTTGATGTATATGCAATATATCTACCTGAGCTTCCTGCAAAATCAGCAGTGCTATAGAAATATTCTTGAACTTTGTTTTCCCATATAATATTGTTATTTATTTTATAGCCATATTGCATTCGAAGTTGAGTCCCTTGGACTGAAGTTTCCAAGAAATCGAATTCGAGTTTATAATGCCACCATTTTGAAAAATCAAAATCTTCAAAAACAACATTTGGCACTCCATTTGAAATCTTGATTTCTGCAATAAGAAAATTTCTTTCGTTTGAAATATTTTGTGGGATTTGATTTTTAAGTGCAATTTTATACAAATCTTTTAATTCATTTGAAATACTTTCAACTTTCTTTTCCAATGTTTCGGTTTTACTTTCATTTTCATCAATTCGATGTAAGAAATATGAAATTTTTTTCTGGATTTTCTTTTGTGGATTTATTTCTTTGACAACTTTAAATAATTTGTGTAAATAATCCCTTCTTTCAAATACTTGTAAATACTCAGCATTCAAATATCCACCAATTAAAGGGCCATATCCGTTATTAAGTATTAAATATACTCCACCAGTTTGATTTGCTGTTATAGCTAGTTGATTTTTCATTGACAACTGATTGATTGGAATTTGTCCAAAATCAATTATAGTTTTGAAATCATTTAAATCTATGTGAACAACACATTTTGAAGGTGTGATGGCACAAGAAGGAAGTGTTGGAATTGAAGGAATGAAAGGAACATCACATTCTTCATTTATTTTAGAAAAACCAAGGCATCCAATATGGCAAATTCTTAATTTATCAAATCCAAAATTAGTTAATATATCAAATAATGGTGTATTTAATTGATATAATTCTTTTTTCTTATTATGTTCCTTCAAAACAAAAAGAATATCATTACATTCTTCTGGTAGTCCAAAGCTATTAATAATGGTTTGAATCATTTCATCTTGGGCAACACTAAATTTCAAATCAGGTACATTTTCAATAGGATTTGGAATGTTTACTTTTTTAGATATTTTTTTTATCTTTCGAATGACTGCAACAAACACTCCGCAACAATTGATTTGGAATGGATAAAATCGCATGCATAAATCAATGTTTTTAATTATTGAATTACTAGATAATGATTCTAATAATTCTGGATCAGTGATGCTCTTTGGAATGAAATTTAAATCCCAAGAATTAAGTCCTTTGCTTCTTTTAATTTCTTGAAACATTGATGAGCAATCAACAAGTTGACATTCATTACAAAACAGTTTCATTTTAAGTACAGAATTAATGACAGCTTCATTCTCAAATGGATTTAATGAGAATGTTGAATAAACAACAATTCCTCCAGGTTTCACTTTTTCTAAAGCGCTTATCAAATATTTCTTTTGTTCTACGTGATTTTCTATTGCTTTATCAAGTGTAAATTCAGTGTTTTGGCGAGATCCATTCAAAATCAAGCCATCTTCTGTTGATGGTGCAATACAAAGGATTTTGTCATACTTTATTATATTTGGAATATCAAGAACTGGATATGAAATGACGCAATAATTGTTATTTTTGTAAATATAATTTTCTTTTGCAGATTTTGTGTCTGAATCATTGATGAATATGCATCCTTCTTTAAGTATATTTGTTGAGACCCTATTAAGGTATTCATTCAATTTTGTAGTATTCAAAAAGTGACAACAAAAATACAAATTTTGCGAAAAATATCATAATAAATTTTAATTTTTTATATTAAATATTCATAAAAAAATAATATCATTATATAATATATTTAAATTATTCTATATCTTGCTAAAAGTAGAGATAATTTCATAAATAATCACTCAGCTAATCTTTTCAACCTGAGTTAAAATTTGAAAAATTGGACATATTTTTTGATTTTGAAAAGAATTATTTTAAAAAATCAAAAATTCCGACGCTGGGGACTTTATTTTGGATAGATTTTTACTTTGAATACTTTACATATTTTTACTTTTCAGAAATCTTTATTTTCTCACAATTATTCAATTGTTTATATCTTACAATCTCACAATTATTTCTTATAAAAATGCACAATATTCTGAAGTATATAATAATTTCATAGAATTGATCTCAATTTTCTTATGATTCAAATATTTCATAAAAATTTAATTCAATTTAATAAATTAACTAAAAAATATATCTTATATTTAAAATTGCATTTTCCTCATATTTGCTATGATATTTATACAAAACATCATTTTTTTTTCTAAACTTATCAAATTGTAAAATTTTCATTCAAAAAGAAAAATTAATTTATTTTTATATTTTACGTTAATTTTACCATTATATTTAGTAAATAAATTGATGTCATCATATATTTTATTATATTACAATATGATATCATATACTGCTTTTGTTCAACCTTAATATGGTCTATTTGTTGCTATTTCGCATATCTGGGAATCATTACAGCCACATGAAAGAATGCGATCATTATATTTTATGTCCAAGAAAATGTATGGAATGATTGATGAAAACTTAAATCGTGATAAGAATCCGTGAGTTGTATTAATATTGATCCAATTTTCAAAATCTTTCATTTCAGGATTCTCTTGAATGAGATTCTTTGGCATATAAATTTGTGCAATTGTTCCAAATTGTTTTTTCAAGCATTCAATGATTGAAGATTTGCATGATACAAATTTTATCAATGTCATATGTGTATCAAGTTCATCAAGTAATTTATACTGATAAATAGTATCTGTTTTAATTCGAAGTGTTTTTGGAACTTCTTTTATTTCTATCATGCTATTGAATGTATTGTCATCCATTGTGTTTTCAAGCAAATGCTTGAAATAACGTATATAGCTGAAGCAATAAATTGGTTGCACAATTGGGCAACTTTCCATTATAAAGTGATATCAAAAATATTGGTGTATTGTTGGCATAAAATTCTAGTGAATTTTTAAAAGGGATCTTTTTCAAATGGATCTTTTTAAAAGGGATCTTTTTAAAAAAGATTTTTTTCTTTTTTTGGCATTTTCTTTTTGGTGTAGCAATAGTTATAAAAACATTAAAAAAAGCTTATGATTAAGTAAATGATAACTAAATATATATCAGATTGCGATGTGGAACAATTGGAAGTTCATGATCAGGAATTATGATCGAGGTTGATGGTTCGAATCCATCCGTCGCATATTTTTTGTTTTTTTGTTTTTATTTTATTTTATTGTTATTGTTATTATTCCTGGTGTTTTCATTGTTTGATGATTTTGCGTTATTTACCAGATAGATTTCATTCAAATATTACTTTTTCATAAAGATTTGTAAAGTAAAAAAGTTAATCAAAGAATGAAGCAAGAGGAAGATACTACAAATGATGTAAATGAGTCTAGTTCAAAGGAATCTAAAGAAGCAGAGAAATTGAATAAGAAACTTGAAGAAATAATCAAAGGAAAAAATGAAGAAATCAGCATATTCCAAAACTTGAAATTAGAAGATTTTTTTTTGAAAAGAAAATTTATGAAAAAGTAATGATTAATGTTTCACAAAATCGCTGAACAAAAATATCCATTACGGTAGGAGTCTAGATTAATGAGAAAGAAAAGAGTTACTTACAGAAAAAAGATAAATTTAAAGTTTTGAAAGGTATTTAAGCATTCGCAAATAAGAATTAAGTGAATATAAATGCAATTATTTTAGAATTTGAATGTTTCCAGTGATCAACCGATAATTATAATTATCAATATGATTTTAAATAAAAAAAATTGGAAAAAATTAATGCATTTTTTGCTTGTTTTTAGTGGTATCGATTATGTTCATATCTGATATTATCTTTTCAAACAATTAAATTCACAAATCTGATTCCCCTTAATTATTAAAATGAAAAAAAAAAAGCTTTCCGACACGGGGAGTCGAACCCCGATCCCGTGGATGAAAACCACGTATCCTAACCGCTGAACGATGTCGGATTGTTATTGACTTAAATATTTTTAAATCTGTCAAAGAAAATTTATTTGCATCAAAACGCAATCTTTTTCATTAATTGTTTCAAATAATAATATCCTGAATATAAAAGAATAATACTTATTCTTTCCATCATGTTTTATTATTATTGTTCAAATCAATTTTTTTTTTTTTTTTTTTTTTTTCAAATTTATTAAAAATATTTTGATTAATGTTTTTTATTAAAATATAGGGGTTTTGCTTATCTTTTCATTATAGAGGTTTGTTCGTATCAGTAATTATTAAATAAAAATTGGAAATGAAAAGAAAAAAGAATTGAGTTTTAAAAAGTATTTTATATAATATACAATAACAATAAATTCGTTGGTTAAATTTAGTTTCTTTCACCACGAATTCTTTGTGCTAATTGAACATCTCGTTCCATAATTGTAACGCGGTTAGCATGAATCGCACAAAGGTTAGTATCTTCAAAAAGTCCAACAAGATATGCTTCTGATGCTTCTTGTAATGCTGCAATTGCTGATGACTGGAAACGAAGATCTCCTCTGAAACCTGAAGCGATTTCACGAACAAGACGTTGGAATGGAAGTTTACGAATCAATAAATCCGTGCTCTTTTGATACTTCCTGATTTCTCTAAGTGCAACTGTACCTGGTCTGAAACGATGTTGTTTCTTGGCTCCTTGTGAATCAACAACAGGTGTTGATTTACGTGCTGCTTTAGCTCCAAGAGATTTACGTGGTGTCTTTCCACCTGTTGATTTACGTGCTGTTTGCTTAGTACGTGCCATTTCTTCTTATTATAAAAATGATCTTATTTCCATCTTTTCGGTATTTACTCCTTTTTTATTACCTTTTTATACCTTAAATATTTAAATGATAAATTTATTTATATCTATTCAATATATCATCGGTGTAAAACGGCATCATGAAATCATATTTGAAATGGCGGTATTTTTCAATATATGAAACCGCCAAAAAAAAGTTAAAAAATAAATTTATTTAAATATTCTTTATAATAAATTTAAAAATAAATTAGAAAAATAGGCATTTAAAATGCATTTATATGATATATGTTACTCAGAGGAAAGGTTGCATGTCAGAGAGTTGGATTTATTTTGAATTAAAAACGCATTCGATTCTTTATGTATTGAATGTGTTTTGAAAACAGATATTTATCAAAATTCTTTTGATTATAGATCACAATGCCAAAATGTATATTCACTTTTGCGAATTTTTGGTTGGTCAGCAAAAAAAATGTGCTAGACTTTTTGAGGTAAATCCAAAAGCTTTTGAGAAACAACTTAGTCTGCCTCTGGAGAATAATGAAATTGGAAGAGCGTAATCTCTGAACAATGAAGAACAACAGCTGTTATTTCACAATCACTATTAGTCATGAGCAAGCATCCAACGTTGTATGATATTGAACAAATTTCAATTCAAGTTTTTAACAAATATTTTTCAGTTGATACTTTAAGCTATTACATAATTGGTTCAGATAAATTCAGAATTGTTAAGGGTGAACCTCAGGAAGAAGACATGGTTAATGTAAATGTAAGCGAAATCAACAATTATTGGGACGTATTTTTTATATGTGTCAACGGTGTTCATGCCTCATTATTTTTAAAATGGATGAGACAGGACAAGATGAGCACATTGACACACATTCAATGAAAGTGATCGTTGACTCATCATACACTAAATAATTCAAAGCACTTTGTAATGTTTAAATGAAAAAAGGAGAAAGAAATTATAACTAATAACGTTGCTGAAAACCACAACAAAACCTTAAGAAAACATATTGAAGATCATCCATTCTTGGATACTTTACAACAGAAACTTGCATATGTAGAAAATAAACATTATAATAGATGGTTTAATCATATAACGAAGAGTTCGATAAAAAGTTTAGAACTTTTATGGCATCATTAGTAAAAAATAAATTGATACGAATAGAAAATCATATTGAAGATCAATTTTTTGACGACAATTCAGATGATTGGTTGAATTTCGCAGAATTTATTTCAGAAGATAAATTAGATTGTTAAGAAGACATTTCAGATGTTTCAGTTAACTTAAGTTACTCAGATGATGAAATTAATAATTCAGCTGAAGAAGTTGCCATGAAAGAAGATGATTATTCCAAAGATGAAAGAAAAAATTTTGAAGGAGCTGAAGACGAATTGAATGTTATTCTAAATGCCTCCTCAAGGCAAAAAACAAAGATTAGGGCAATATCGAACACGGCTCAACAAATTCTCATTAGAAATATAGTGGTTTTTAATAATGCACCATCGAGATCTATAGAAAGAGCAGACATTAAAGTGAATAGAATTTCAATCGATCTAAGATCAGCTGATTCTCTCATTTGAAAAAGAACTTTTTGATACATTTTTTCTTGCTAGTTTGTTTCCTTAAGATGATTTACTTCTTCTAGATGCTTTTCTTTTTGGAATATCATTTGCTGCTCTACAAAAAATAATATTTTTTTTCCAGAAAAATTAATTGTGAGATTATAAAGTTTGTTCTTGCTTATTTTGAGAAACATGTCACTCTCTTCCAATTCGTTTTTGAATTTGAGAAGAAGAAATTTATACACGATACAACATTTCAGCAAATAATCGAAAGAATGTGCACATTCTTTCTAAAAACTAATGTTAGTGATTGATATCATGCCCACAAGAATATCTGTCAATTGATTTGATTCCTTTTTATGGTCTAATATTTTTCTCTACAGTCAAAATATGTACATGAGAATAAACAGTCCATTTTAAACTAAAGAGAGGACAGAATTTACATTGTACCACTTTAAATGGACCTTTTGTACATATGTAATTACAATGAGCATGCAATCTTGAGCGCCTTTTAGATACTTTTATCACATATAATGAGATTAGTTTTAGGAGAAATTCCAATTTTGAACGAAAATCTGACATAAAGACGTTAAGAATTTCTTTTTTTGGCTGAGGAATCGACTATAAGAAAAATCCGGGTCAGGTCAATTTGACCTTATGGCCAATATATTTAACCATACTTAGAAAACCAATCAAACTTTTTGAACGAAAGTAAACGCCATTTATCTGCAATTGTGGAAACACAAAACTAATAAGAACGAATGCAGGAACGCATGAATTCGAACAAGATATGACGAACGAACTCGTAATTAACAAATATTACGCCAAGATACGACAAGCAAACTCACAATTGTAAACAATCGAGCAAGATAAGACAAGCAAACTCGTAATTGTAATTATTCTACCAAGATAAGATAAGAAAACTCGTAATTGTGAATGTTTTAGCAAGATATAACAACGAAACTCGTAATTGTAAATAATCTACCAAATTAAGACAAGCAAACTCGCCATTTGATGGAATTTTTTCTAGTTCAACTATTTATTTATGTGCACGAATCAAGTTGTTTTTTAATAAAAAAGAATTAGTTTTAATGTTGATATTTATACTAATTTATCCTTTTCATGAGTAATTGAGAGTATAAATGGTCGTCTGCCTTTGAAAAATCTTTAAAATTAAGAATTTATTTGGTCGTACACCAAAAAATGATTATAATATCTAAAAAAAAAATCATGAGAAATATTAATATTTGTAAGTTTATTTAAACTAGGAATAAATATGATACCAATTTAAAGAAAAAGTAATTAATAAGCCATCTAATGAGCATTCTTTGTACATCAAACACGTGTCTGATGTACAAAATGTCTTCAAATGATAAATATGCTTTAGTAAGCATTATACCAATAACGCTGATTTGTCACGATATAATGAAAGATCATTTAATTTAAACATCGATTATATTTAAACGCTGGTTATTTCAAGGAAATGATCTTTAATTTGATTGTATGATAAAAATCGAGGTTTAAATATGTTGTATTTAGTAATTTTTGTATTCAACGTACTGTATTTCGCGAATTATGATTTGATTCAATAAAATTGCTAGTAAATAGAATGAATAACGTTTAGCATGAGGAATGGTTAGAACGTGATTATGATAAAATCTGGCGTTAGAAGGAAATTAACTTGTTTTGCTGTTATTTATTGCGAGTTTCGTATTGTTCAAATATAGTCGTTTACTTTCGTTCAAAAAGTTTGATTGGTTTTCTAAGTATGGTTAAATATATTGGCCATAAGGTCAAATTGACCTGATCTGGATTTTTCATATAGTCGATTCCTTAGCCCTTTTTTTTTTTTTTTTTTTTTTTGCTTTTTTGCTAAGC